ACGAAATCCTACTATTATGACTATGTTAGTTTAGTGCAACAATTGAGATTTTTTTTGAAAAAAAAATCAATAGAAGATCAAGTAGTGTATAAGGAATTTCGATGATTCGGTTCAACCACAAAACTGCATTCCACCATTTTCCAATAGCATTTTGTATATTAGATTAGAGTATTTCATTTTTCCCTGCCAGAATTTTGAAGTTTTTAGATGGAAATAGTTTGGCATTGGTTAAATTCACTTACTGATTAGAACGTATGAAGGGTCAAGGCAAACAATGATACCTCTCTCTTTATTTTATTTTTTTGTCAAAGCCACATGGGTTAGGCACTTTAAGTGAATTAAGTTATTTAAATAAATTATAATGTGGATTCATCTCCTTTTTGCATAGATGCACGTGGGAGACACCAACATTTGTCCATCCATAAAGAGAGGAAAAAGGGTTCAATGAAAGGCAACGAAGATCATCCATCATTGTACCTCCATTACCATATCATGATACTAACCAAAAACAGGTACAAATTGATTCCATCCATTAAAGTAATTAATTACTTTTTTTTTTATCTTGACATAAAAACATGAAGTTGCCACGAAGCAAAGCATCATTACTTTTGTTTTTTTTATGCGGATCTCTGTAAGCACTTGACTAATCTTTATTGGATAGTGCAATCCTTCGTCCTACGTGCGTTAGATGATTAGTAGAGAATATATAGGTGTGCGCTGCTATGAATGGATTTAAGAAAATGTGCGAGTGTGATAATTAGAATTCAGACCTTATATAAGGAAGACATGCATACTTATTTATCGCGCTTGAGCAACCCTTTGCACTTGCATTAAACACCATGCATATAGAAAGCTCCCGAAACAAATTCATCTCGCAGTATAGTTAATTGAAAGCGAGATTTAGTAGCATAATGTTCGGATTTTGGTATTCAAATCCCATAGAAGGGGAATGAAAAGTGTGGTTCAAACAGTTTTGTTTTTCACTGAACAGACATGTCTGTTCGGAATTTTATTTTATTTTATTTTTTTGATAGATATGTCTGTTCATGATTGTTCGCCCATTTATTTTCGGACAGATATGTCTATTCATGAACCGAACGAAACTTTTCGGTTCTTCGTGACTCTTCATTGTTTTTAAATAAAACAAAAAACATTTGTGTTTTTTGCGCGGCATTTTTCTACTGCTCTCTTATTCTTTATCATTGTCATTTTCGTGCGATTAATTTGCAAAGTTGCGTTAAAAGGTTTCCTTTGAAGAAGTACCGCTTCATAAAAAAAGGTGATCCGTTCTATCATGGGAGACAATTGTTCAAGAACCTTGGGTACCGGTAGAGGGGATAAATTGTCTTAGGGACACAACATGAATTTGTTGGGCTCAAATCATTCATCAACATCCGAATTACTCATCTACGCTTTAAGGTTCGTCGAACAACTTTGTTTTTGCATATACGAACACTTAGGAATCAACACATAATAGTACTTCGGGTATTATTAGAATATGCCCGGATGGATTATTTATTTTTGGTTAATATTAATCTCTTAACTTGTGCATCTTTTTAATTTCTTTGCTCGAAATATCTAAAATTTCCAAATCATATAAATATCGGCACGAGGATACACATATATACTTACGTTAATACTTAGATTTTGAGGTGAAAAAAAAACATTTTTGCTTCTACTTGATCTAAAACAAACACGTCTTAAATCATGAGAGATTGACCGAGTGATTAAGCGACGATTTGCGCCCGAGTTAGGCGCGAACCATGCGTTAATAATTTCGTGTCGACACTCATTTTGGTTCGACTCATGCCTCAGCTGGTCGATTTAGGAGATTAGCGAGACATTTATGACGTCACGGCTTTGATCCGGTGCGTGGAAAGGGACGCTGCTGCATGGATGGATGGATAGGCGTGTCGTTCTGTCAATGGACCGAAACAGGGGCAATCGGGGAGCGTGCGCTAGTGGTGGGCCCCACAAGACACGCACACGTGGATGGCCTTGGTGCATTGACTGTCGGCAACCTCAGCCGCGTTTGATCAAAACTCAGGGGGGGCCGTGTTCTTGTTTGATCTATCTTAGGATGTGATGCCCTTATCTGGCCAAAAAAAAAAAAAAAAGAAAGTAAAAAGTTACCTAAAATTCTGAATGACGTATCTATTCCAAACTTTCTCATGTGATACAAAAAAATCTAAAACTTGTACCAATAAAACGCATCTATTCCGAACTTGTATTGATGTGATATATTTATCTGAAATTTTTTTTATGACACCAAAAACCCTAAATTTGTATTCGTGCAATGTATCTGCCTCAAAGTAATTTTAGTAAATATTTCACACAAGTATAAGTTTGGAGTTTTTTGAGTCACAAAAAAGGTTGGGCTAATGTATTGCACAAGTATAAGTTTGGAGTTTTTTGTGTCACAAAAAAAGTTAGAGGCAAATGTGTCACAGTTGGCGGAATTTGAGGTTTTCGGTGACCTTTTCCAAAAAATGAATAATTTCGAAAAATATTATCTTAAAAGTGATCACTTATATCGCTTATAAAAATAAATGAACAAAAAATATTTTCATCGTTCGCATAAAACTTTATACATAAATTATTATCGATAATAAAAAAAAAATTTATCGATTAATTATTTTAAACAGTATAAATGATTTTTTTTAAATATATTTTTTTTAAGTTATTCGTTTTTTGTGGAACGAAGTGAGTTTTAGAATCAAGTGAGACAAAAGATCTCTCAAGTCCCAAGCTTCTTCCAGCTATGCCACGAGCTGCCCTTCCTGCCTAATGCTACATGGTTGGTTGGATATCGTATGTCACCATTAAATCTCTCTTTTGTTTTCTTCCTCCCCGTGCATGAACCTTAGGCTCTACCCCCTTTTCCTCATTTTCATGTAATGGCCCCAAAGCTTGCACATCGTCATTCGTTGATTTTATCGTACATTTGAATGGATAATATTGACGTGATCGATGCATCACTTGCAAAATAAGAACTCGAACAAAAACTTTAAGACGTAGGGCTGAGCATTGATGCGTGGTTCAATGAATGGACATTACGTGAAGAGGCGTGCATTTCATGTAAGGCTAACGATAATCGGCTAACCTATAGGTGCATGGAGCATTCGATCGATTATGGATCTTCGATTTAAATGGGTTGAGTCGTGCGAATATATCCGATAGTGATTAGGGTTTTGGGCACTCTTATCTTCTTCCCATTTGTCATCAACATAATCAAATTTACACAAGGGCTATTCTTAAGCTTACCTTTACAACGCCGATTTTAAAAGTACATATAAATCCTTTAGAACCCGACAAGAAGCTCCCCATAACAAAGATTTGAAAGTTCATGAACACATCACGTGATTCTTTTAAAGTCGAAATCAGATCTACTTTGGCTTGATAAGTAACAAAACTAAAGAATTTCTCTTTTCAGCTTATTAATTTGACATTCTTTTCCAAGTCGAAACAAACAGATAGACACCCACAATTTTTATATCATTTTTTAAGCATGTATTGATGGGCACAAAATCAATTAGTTTGAATGAGAAAAATGCCAACGTTGGAAAAAAAGTTATCCCAAAAAACCGAAAGCGCATTGCGAAACCCTAGGCATAGACATGGGAGATTGGGAAGAAATTGTCCCCTATATAGCATGAGGAAGACAAACCACGTACCAATCACTTTGCAATTTGACATAACAAAGATACGTCGAGATTATATACATAATATATAATCTCGACGTATCTTTGTTATGTCAAATTGCAAAGTGATTGGTACGTGGTTTGTCTTCCTCATGCTATATATATATATAATTCTTGATTTTTAACCCCGAAAATGCCGCCAAAAAGAATAAAAAGACACGACAGTACATTTTAACATTGGCATGTCGTGGCCCATGCTGTGTGGTCTCGCTCTTTAGCAGCTCAATATGAATGAATGAAGGCAGTAGGTGCATTGCATTTGCATTATGATGTTAGATAAGGTCCACAAAAAATCGAGTCACGTTAGTTGATATATAAATCATGCAATTAGTATGTCCAAAATGAGGTGACAGACTGTAGGCTTTTTGAATAGATAAGTTGTATTCAACATTCGATGATAATAAATTTATTGCCGAGTATTCTTACTAGCAGAACATATTTGATAAGAAACATTTCGACGTACCGACACCGGAAAAAAAAGATAAAATTGAGAATCGCGAGCTTCTTCTGTGACTGATCGACGAATGTACAGGAGGCACTTGTTAAGGAAACAGAAGGAGAAAAAAAAAGAGAACACAAAAAATAAGGCTTCGGATGATAATGCTCTTGTCATTGCCCTGGAAGCTTGCACTTTCTCGCCGGTTGGAGAAGATTTGGTCTGTTGGTCCCTTATTTAAACTAAGTTGGTCACTTTGAAGTTTTAGTTGAAATAGGATCAATTCTTAATCTATCTTTTGTGAAAACCGTCTCATTTCAAATCTTTATTTGAAATTTTTCCTAACGTTTTTTTCTATTTTTTCGTTTTTTTTGTCCTTCTCCCTCTTCTCTCTTGCAGAGAGTCTCTGTACATGACCGAGACCGACGCTCTAAATTATCCACGGCCACACGAGTACCAAAGTCTGAAAGAAAATATGAAAGAAAACAAAGAACGAGATTCGTTTTCGCCTTTCCTCGAATCCCTCCCAAAAGTCCAAGCGATTTCTTCACGGAGCCAAAGTCAGGGAAAGGAAAATAAAATAAAAAAAAAGAAAATAATTTGCTGCACCACCTGCCCTGCACACTGCACAGTTTAGCTGTATTGCCACTCTATATCATTATTGGCGCTAAATGATTTGATTGAAGCCATTTTTCAAACCTCAATTGGGCTAAGAAAATTTGAAACTGATTAAAAAGAAAACACTAAACTCTCCCTGCACACCCTTCAATAATACTGGATTGCAAGATTCTGACCCCTACATATACACCTCCCCACCCGGCAGTTTTGCCTCATCTCTCCTTCTCTCTGCCTCTCGGTGTGTGCGCGCGCCAGAGGGTATGGCTCTTGAGGTCCATTGTTTCTGTCATGTTGTTTCTCTTGCTAGGCGGCTTATGAGAGAGCGTTTCGTTTTGGTTTCCGCAGCTGAAGTTGGTGGGTTGTTTGTTGCTGTTCTTTGTTGCGGGATCGGATCAATGGCTTCGCACGCGTGGGCTCTGTTTCTGGGTGTTGTTCTGATGGCTTCGGGGGCAATGGGGGCTGCTCCAAGAAGGCCTGTGGCGGTGCCGTTCGGTAGAAACTACATGCCCACATGGGCTTTTGATCACATCAAGTACTACAATGGTGGCTCTGAGATACAGCTCTTCTTGGACAAATACACAGGTGAGTTTATATGGACGCAGGGAGTGGAGTATGGTTCAGAAGTTGGAAAAAAGATCCCACCTTGAACATTTCGAGAGAATAACTCCCTCTTTGGCTTTGATTCCTTGTCAGTTCTTCGCCGGTTTTAATGTTTTTTGTTTGATTCTTTGGGTAAATAAAGGTACTGGCTTTCAATCCAAGGGCTCTTACCTGTTCGGGCATTTCAGCATGGACATCAAGTTGGTTCCTGGAGATTCTGCAGGGACAGTCACTGCTTTCTACGTGAGTAATTCTTGCCGTTTCGTGGCATTGAAAAGCAGGTTGTGCCATCAATATGTGATCTTGTTTTAGAAATGGGGTTTACGCTGTTGGTTTTTGTTTTCTAAAGTGATAACCATCTTGATTTCTTCTTGAAATTGCTTCCTATTGAGCTTGTCTTGTTACTCTGTTTTTTCTCCCCTTTCTTTTAGTCATGGGATCATTCCATCGTATGATATTGTGATTCCTTATTGCAGCTCTCATCTCAAAACTCAGAGCACGACGAAATAGACTTTGAGTTCTTGGGGAACAGGACTGGGCAGCCATACATATTGCAGACCAATGTGTTCACGGGAGGAAAGGGAGACAGAGAACAGAGGATTTATCTGTGGTTTGATCCCTCCACTTCCTTCCACTCCTACTCTGTTCTCTGGAACATGTATCAGATTGTGTAAGTACCCACTTTCTGCCCTTTTCTCTTCCTTTTCTACTTTCAGTTTGAGCACCACACGATGAACCTGTTCTTTTCTTTTACTGAGAAAGAATTTGAGGATAGTATTAATGAAAAATTTAGAGAGTGGGAAACTACATCTACAGGGTAATCACGTATTATAACTATAATCCACGCTTGACCGTCAATTTATGTTCTTGTTCAAGCTGAATTTTGTTTTGCACTGCCTTTCACACCAGTATGACTTGATAGTGAGACGGGGACAAGAGCCTTTCTGATCAAAAGTCTCGATTTCAAGAACCAGTCAACATGGTTTCTTGTTCTCTCTCTCTCTCTCTCTCTCGATCGATCGACAAGAGCCTTTGTAATCGAAAGTCTCGATTTCAAGAACCAGTCAACATGGTTTCTTGTTCTCTCTCTCTCTCCCTCTCTCTCTCTCTCATGGCAAGTGGGAATTGTTATTATTATTATTCCTTACTTTACCAAAGAATCCGTCAGAGAGAAAGAACAAAGCCAGGTAGCGTCGGAGCGAGCAGCTGCTCCTCTTACTGGCAACCTTGCTGATTCGCATAAAACAGATCTCAGATCAAATCTCCACCTGAGCTGTGGTTTTCGACTTTAAGAAATTGCAACTGCACTGTCTCATCGCAATTAATCGAGTTTATTGAACTTAAAAGCACCTTCCCAGTACGAACTTTCCCAGAAATGAATTAACCCCACTGCCTCCTTCCCTTGAAAAAAAAAAAAAGAAAAGAAAAAGGACTCTTCCCTTTGGTGACATCTTTCTCTCTCAACACAATCTCTTTTTCGGGATTTTTTTTTTTAAAATTTGCTTGTGTCCAAGTGTCACAATCACCGAATTACCTGCGAAGTCCCCTGGATCCAGCTCACTCTCAGACTAGTCCCCGACAAAAAACAGAGTCACTTATGTCAAACATACGAGACGAATCAAGAGAGATTCATGCAACTATTTGCTCTGCTTTTGTCATTGGGGGTTGTTAGGAGTCTAGGACTCGCTTTTTTGTGGCACTCCTTTTTTAATGTATAGATTCCGACAAGACTTGGCAAAAAGATTGCCGCCAATCCCTTTTTCTTGGTTTCTTCTTTCAATGTTTTTTAAATGTGAGCAAATTGGGGGGACTTAATCAACAGTAATGTCCATCTTGGTCTTTTGGGATGTAATTGCTGCTTGCTAATCACAGCTCAAAAGCAAATGGACCTACTCTTTGGACTTTAAGCATTGAAAACAAAGAAAAGGATTCAAACTTTTCAGACTATGTAAAAATCATGAGTAGTTGAACTTCTTATTCATAGAATGATCTCATCTAATTATACTAATTTATGTTTTCTTCAATAGAGTTTTGGCATTGGTTCTCACGAATGATTGAACCTATGATTCAATGGTTAAATTGTGGTTATTCAGTATTGATTTTAATCTGCTTTCGTGCAGGTTCTTCGTGGATGATGTGCCGATCCGGGTGTTCAAGAACAGCAACGACCTGGGGGTGAAATTCCCCTTCAACCAGCCGATGAAGCTGTACTCGAGCCTGTGGAACGCAGATGACTGGGCCACACGGGGAGGGCTCGAGAAGACCGACTGGTCCAAGGCGCCATTTGTGGCCTCCTACAGGGGGTTCCACATTGACGGCTGCGAAGCATCAGTTGAGGCCAAGTTCTGCGCTAGTCAGGGCAAGAGGTGGTGGGACCAGAAGCAGTTCCAGGACCTCGATGCCTTCCAGTACCGGAGGCTCCAGTGGGTCCGCTCGAAATACACCATCTACAACTACTGCAGCGATCGAAAGAGGTACCCCATGATGTCCCCAGAGTGCAGGAGGGACAGGGACATATGATCAAAGCTCTAATTTTGGCGATCACAAGAGATTAAGAAGCTAAGCATGAAAGATGAGCCTAAGAGGATAGATATTGGTTGCTAAATTGTTGTTGCTTAAGTTATGTTTTACCACTATTCGTTCATCTATTTCCGTCTCTTTGATACAAAATGTGTGTGGGACTGGGGCCTCAAATTAAGCAGAGTGTATACCATTGTAAAAGTAAAACTCATACCTAGTGAGCTTCTAGATGTACTTCATTCATCTGCTGGGAAATAACAAAATTGATTGCTATTTTCTTCTGGAGTAGACAATGCGAAATTATGTATGGTAACAGAAGTTGGGTGTTCCGGGTTTGTCTCTGATAGCTTGAGGAGCTTTCGAATGGTTGCTAAGAGTTGTTTAACCCCAGTTGATTGAAGAAACAATGAAACCTTTTTGATTGCTAGGAGGGGCAATACAGCTTTGATCGAACTATGGGTATATGTCACTTTCAAATTAGAGAAAGTGTTGCCTAAAGCCAGACTGCGTGTTCTATATCACACCAATCCATCAACAGCTTGTAAGCTAATCAGATGCTCCTGACACGGTCAATGTTCCTGTGATCTAATGTTAGTCCTCACTGGGACACCACTCTATAATAACTGTGACATAGGTGGACACGCTGAGATTGCCACGAACTCAGTAGCTAACCTGTGCCTAATGTTTTCAGCTTACACGAAGTATGATCTGAAGAGGAAGTTTGATAAATGAAATTGTCGATTTGAGAGAATTTAATGCCCCAAGTAATCGTTGTGATCGCAGTGATCAATCCTGTTCTAAATTAGGAGACTGCATGCTTCCATTTTGAAATTTAGATATGTCGGGAAGACAACGATCTAGGATTTTAGTGTATGCTTTGATGGAAGGAAAAGAAATTTTCTAAGCTTTGCTAAATAGCTCATCGGTTCTCAGATTAAGCCAGGAAACTTCAGGGAACTCTTCGTTCAGATGATTGCAATGGAACTAAAGCTAAGTGTGTCAAATGTCATTCCACCAAGAAGCCAAAGCTGATAATAATACCGTTGGTTTCTGGTGCCAATCAATTTACAAAATTTGGTCCTGGAATGCTTGGTGGAGCATGGAGAATATGTCTTCATCTATGTTTATTAGGTTACATCAGTGAAAGTTGTCGGGGGTGATCGTCTAAGCTTCAGGAGCTTGGATTGTACACAAGCATATCATAACTTTGGTATAATTTCATCATGATCGAATGTATAAAGTTTCCTTGTTTCCACTGTGCAGTTTTAGCTTTTTCATAAGAAATGTTATCTGTTAGAAGTATACAGGAAATTTGAAGGGCAGCAAAAGCGAAATGTTTCCAAGAAGTGTCAGTCTTTTAAGTTTGATCAAGCAAAGAGAGGGTGCTTCAGCCAACGGAAGTACTGTACTGGACCACTAAAATTGCTTAATCTCAAAGGTGAGTAAAAGAAACAGCTACTAGATTGGTCATAACGTTTGAGCACCACCAGTATTGCTGCTGTAGATATCGGTTCTCAAGCATCTTGCCTGTCAACTCCATAGTGGTAGAGCGTGACCTATCTCAAAATGTTTAGAAATTTATTTGGGGAAAAAGCTGAAGTATGTTTAGTTTTGTCATTCTAGGAGAAGATCAGAATTTAAGTTCAGTTAATAAGATTCTTGAATATCACTGAAGTTCTTGGCCTGGTCTGAATGAGGACTTTTAATGATTTCAAGAATTGATATACTCTTGAGCCACATGAAAGTTTGGGGCCTAAAAAATTATGAACCAATAATCTGAAATCACATAACATGAGATGTAGCAGCTAACCGAGATCTCAGTTTAGCTGAAAAAGTAGGCGAAGGAACATGAGCACCAATTCTACGGAACCAATTCTAGGGACCAGCATGCTGAAGTGAAAACTTGCAGTATCAGAACATTTGAATGGATCATAAATTTTAAAAAAACTAGACATGAATTTTCAAGAATCACCATAACAATGTAGCCGGACAAGGGAGCAAGAGATCTAGAGATCTTTAGCATCAAACAGTTTCATCTCGAAGGTGCTGAAACAAGAAGCCCATAAGATTAATTCTTGATCTCAGTTTCACTAACTTGTTGCCTTAATGGGATTTTATGGTCGCTTTGCCCATAAGAAAACCATTCTTAAACTCTGCTAAATAGCTCGTTTGTTTTCAGTTAGTGAAGGAAATTTCAGAAAACTCCTCATCCAGATGTTAGCAACGATGATAAACCTACATCTATAAAATGTCATTCCAACTCAGAGGCCAAAGATGATGATAAAAGGTCTGTTTCTAGTGTAAATCAATTCATAGGTAGTTTATCAATACTTCAGGTTCCATCAGTGCAAGTTAACGGGTTTAACCGTCTAAGCTTCAAAAATTCAAACTCTATACACGAATAACATTCAGAGTTTTAGTACTTCATCATGATCGAATGCACAGTTTTCTTGTTTCCACTGTGTTCCTTTGTCATAAGATCTATAAATGTATTGGACATCTTTAAGGGCATCACAATGTCAGAGAAGAATCAGTCTGTAAGTTTGCTTGAAGGTAAATAAATAGAAACGACAATTTGATTGATTATAAAATTTGAGCACCGCCAGCATCACCTCAGGGGAGCTCATGTATCAGTTCCAACTCGCCTCTGTCAACTCCACGGTGGAAGAGCGAGACCATCTTGGAATGGTTAAATCTGTTTTGTCAGAGAGCTGGACTATGTTTCTATTTATTTTCTCGTCTAGAAGAAGCTCAGGATTGACATACATAATTCATAGCAATCTTGAATATTTCTGAAGTTCTTGGCCTGGTTTTGATGGTGAAAGGTACAGGCGCTTCACATTAAAACAAACTAAATTTTGTTGTTCGGAGAATGAGGACCGTTCATGATCCTCAAGAATTGATATACTCCTGCGCGACATGCCAGAATGGGACATTAAAACATGTGCACCAGCATAATGGATACACATCACAATTCACAAAGACGTACCAGTTAACTGAGATCTCTAATTAGCTGAAAAAGTAGACAAATGATCATGAGCACCAATTTAAAAGATTTGCATGCTGAAGTGGAAACGCACGTAACTGGAAAAGTTGAATACAAGGTGAATTTCAAAAAAAAAAAATGGACATGCAATTATTAAGAATCACCATAATCATCCAGCTGAAGGAGGCAGAAAACCAACAGATCTTTTGTAACATAGAGTTCCGAGTCAAAGGTGCTCTAAAACAAAACTTCGAGCATACTGCAGACAAGCAACGAAACTTAACAAGCTCGAAAAGCAAGGCTCACTGGTATCAAATAACCATATGATTGCAAGACATCAAAAAGTTCAGTTCTAGCACAATTGGTTGCATCAAAATGGTGACAGGTTAACACTCAACCCATGAAATCCTTTTTAATGGCATACAGACTACAAATATTATGTTGAGAAATCTTAATGGTCTAAAGCCGAATCTCTTATTGGCTCATCCTTTTTTATTTGGATAACATGAGAAGTGAGTACGACGGTTGCTGCAGGGATGTTGATGCAGTAGATGTCCGCTGCTTATTGCCAAGGATGATTACTATAACTGTCACATCATCGTGATACTTCCTTCTCCGTCCCGCAGGAATATTCAAGAGCTCATCAGCACTAAAACCTGCAATAGGAACCAGAAATATTCACTAGAAAAAATGAACGCTATCACTAAAAATCTGTTTCTTGTAACTTGTATAGAAATTGCCATTCCAAGTCGGATGGATGGGTTGAATTAATTAATCCTTTTGCAGGTTCTGCTTTCTTTTTTCACTGCTTAAACAGCACAAACTAGAGGATACTGATGCAATTGGCAATCACTAGCTTGCTAACATTACTTTGTACGTCCATAACATGACAGATTCGATGGGTGTGTGTGTGGGTGTGCGAGGCTGAGAGAGAGAGAGAGAGAGAGAGAGAGAGAGAGAGAGAGAGAGAGAGAGAGAGAGAGAGAGAGAGCAGCTTGTTTCCATTGCAGCACCAACAAAAAGGGTACCTAAAAACAAAGAGACATTATCTCAAGCAATTACCTGCATTATTGGCTGCTCTTTGAACAAGCTGTTCAATGAGGTGCTTCGCAGGATCACCAACAGGATTATGCTGGATGAAGAAATGAACAAGCCGCACAACCTCATCATTACTGAAGAAGTCAAAAAGCCCATCACTTCCCAGAACAACAAAGTGATCATTCTCCGACACTCTATGGCTCATTGTGAAGGGATGGGAATAAACATAAGGAGGGCTCCGTAAATTCTGAACACGGAGTATGCCCATCAACATATCATTCATTTTGCTCTGCGAGGATTAAAATAGTTTGGAACAAAATCAATTCGAATTAGATAAATATATTAGTGGGTTCAATATCTTCAACTTCAATTAAAGCATGCATAAACAATTGGCTACCTCTTTGAGGTAACCGACTCCAAATGCTCGAGTAACCTTTAGTTTCCCCTTCACTCTTCCATTTACAATAGGACGAGGATCGTCAGGGTGATCCTCCAAGAGCTTCTTCTTCTCCGACTCATTATCCACAGTATGAGTTTCCGTCAGCTGAATTGTCTTCAAAGCACCGGCCTGCATGCCATCACTTGTCGCCAATATAGCCCTGCTGTCTCCTAAATTTAGAAGATAAATGTCATTCATGTGGAGAAGCGCCACCAACACACATGATCCAACAGATACCAGGTCAGGCCGGTCTTCCATTTCCCGTTCGACCATGTACAGGAAATCACTTTCTGCTTGAGCAACAGCATCATCGAGACAATTTATCACCCCATGGCGAAAAGTCTCATGTGTGGATGCATCATCAAAAGACTGAAAAGGGTCAATTTCTCTATCTGCCACACTTAAAGTGTATGGTTCAGAGGTCAAGGAAATGTCGTTATTGACATTGCCATGCTCTAATGAAATACTTTCAGAAAGTTGATGCAGTGAACTACCTTCACATGACCTATGTAGCTTCATTGTCCGCCATTCCAGATTATGCAGAGAAGAAGCGATTCTGTCATAAAGTGTCCCCGCTAAGAAATCGGCAGCGTCACGCCCATTAAATCCATCATATATTCCACAAAAGAGCCACCCATTTTCTTCTGAGCACACAGCCTGGACTCTATCCTCACCTGCAGCCCCTCCTGCCGTTTGTACATCCATCGCATTAAGAAAGCTCGAGGACTCTGTCCTAGTGAGAGCACTCTTAGACTGACAAAGGTTCGTCTCATTCTCGACAATCTCAGAGTCTGGTGATCCATTCCCAACCAAGGGAGTAATGCTATTAGTGAAGGACGATGATACAAGGTCCAACCGAGATAGGGAAGGAGAAGATGGCAATCTTCTAAATGATTTTGGAGAGTCAATGCTAGGCAAGATTTCCTCTCCTATGATGCCATTGCAGATTCTTGTGTTGGCTAAAGTTGCATTGGCACTCAGAGCAGCACCAGACAAACAAGAAAAGGAGCCATTCCTCATCTTCATGGCAGAACTCCAGGTCATGATACTTTCCGAAGCATCGAATTCATCATTGATGCTCACCGAGCTAGTGTAGCTAGTGGTATTGCATTGATAGCCAAAACTGACACTTAGTTCCCTCGCAGGCATGAGGACAGCAATGTTTAATTCTTCCACAATGTCTCTCATAGAAGACAGATGCTGCCGATGAGTCAAATTCCTCTAGCAGGAAATGTCTGATCTCAGAGAAGTAATTCCTTCCCATGAAAGTTGACTAAAGGCAAAGTTTCAAACAGTTGGATATTGATAGAAGTTGTGCCTGCAGAATTCAGAGGAAGCAAGCAAGATTCAAGGGCTTAATATAAGTGACTTATGCTAAAGGCATCAATGCAGTTTAATAAAGGACAAACAATTTTGACAACAATTGCTTTTGATACATGAGCAAGCAAAAAGTACAAAGAGGTAACCATCAACATCGAAGGCATTTTCTGATAATCAAAGGCAAATGCCATCAAGTGCATCTGTCTTTTACTAATTCATCTAAATGACTAAAAGTTACGTAATTCACATGCCAGCAGCCAACATGGATCAAACAATGAATATTGCTCAGGAAATAAACTCATTAACTGTTCCTTGGATGGACCATATGTAAAGTCACCCATAAAATTTGGCGCTATTGCACGTAGGTAACACGAAAATCAATTAAACGAAAAAACCATATGTTTTGCATGCTTTGCAAGAGCATGACGACGTTTCTGATCTGTTTAATTCAGTAAGAGCATCATTGTGGAAACAAGTGTTTCTCTTCTAAATCTTTAATGCATTTCCTCTTCACCATATAATTTATCATTTATTGACAGTCAAGATTAGAAACCTACTGCAGGCATTTGGAAGTCTATGTTGAAGGTAAAAGAAAACATACAAGAAGATGTAAGTTTGGGAAATCGCAATTGTGAAGGCTAACGATTGAAAGTTTACTAGTTTCAGATACTTCTACGAAATCTGAATTAAGGAGATCACTGCATGTATATGCTATGTTGCTAAATTGTTCGATTGAATCAGTTTATTATCATATCTTTTGGAAACCAACAACAACACAAGTATCTTTGACTGTCCCCTCAAGGCTCCAGATATCACCAGACTGGTACTTCGACATGGCTTCATTCCGACTTAAGCAATCGAATACCCCGATTGATTGGCTCAGAAATCACTCTAGGAAAAGTGAATCTCACTTTAAGTAACAAAGTTAATCCACCACTATTGGTATTTCCAAAAAAGGTATTCAGAGAAGTAATCAAAAGTTCACCACAACAGCTTTCACGTAGGATTACACCAAACACCAGCACAGTATAAAGTGAAGCGTTACTAGCAAAAGGAGAGGAAAAGGGGGTAATAAGTGGTGAAACTTGAAATTGTTTCTCAGTTCTCACAAGCAAATTTTATTGGGAGAACAAAGGAATTAACCAAGTTTGACTCCACACAGATGAGCCTATTCAGAGCTGCCATTTTCAATTGAATAACTAAAACATTCGCGTCGATATAACCCAAGTACAACGTGAACGCCAAGCACAAGTACAAACCTGTTCGGAAAATGGTTTTGCTCTCAGCAAATGAGCCCAGGACTGCCAATTGATTAAAGTGCCTACGATATCCTGGGCACAACAATAAAAAGGTGATTAGAAGAAGGGCAAAGAAGAAGACACAAAACAGAGAGAGTTTTGAGGCACAACAACACTTCACTAATCAATAACTGACCGCAAAGAGGAAGGAAAATAAAATTACCGCTAGTTTCATTCTTTCAAAGTAACTAGGCCAGTGTGATTCGCAGTCCTAACATCCCCATCTGATACGGGAAAAGTGCCAAAAAAGTCCTAAACCTTTTGCATAAGTGCCAATTTAGTCCTAAACCTTTTTTTGGTGCCAATTTAGTCCTAAACCTTTTGCATTGGTGCCAATTTAGTCCTAAACCTTTTTTTAGTGCCAATTAAGTCCTAAACCTTTTAAATTGGTGCCAATTCAGTCCTAAACCTTTTATTTTTGTGCCAATTTAGTCCTTCCGGTCAACTTTGACCGGAATTTGCTGACGTGGACGCCTGCCGGCCGGCGGCCGGTCACCGGCGCCGACGTGGCGCTGACGTGGACAAATTAAATAATATTTTAATATTTTTTGAATTTTTATTTTTTTCCTTTTTTTTCTTTTTTTTTCCACTTTTTTTTTTTGGTTTCTTCTTCATTGGCCGGTCGCCGGTCCGGCGACCGGCCAGAGGCCAGTGGCCGGCGAGCTCGACCTCGCCGGCCACTGGGGAGGGCGGCCTCGCCCGGCGAGGCCGAGCCTCGCCATGGTCGGGCGAGGCTCGACCTCGCCGGATCTGGCGAGGTCGGGCCTCGCCCAGCCGCTGGCGAGGACCGACCTCGCCCGACCATGGCGAGGCTCAAGCCCTCGCCGGAGGCCGCGGCGAGGGCGAGCCTCGCCATGGTCGGGCGAGGCCCGACCTCGCCGGATCTGGCGAGGTCGAGCCTCGCCGGCGGCTGGCGAGGCGACCTCGCCAGATCCGGCGAGGTCGGGCCTCGCCCGACCATGGCAAGGCTCGCCCTCGCCGCGGCCTCCGGCGAGGGCTCGAGCCTCGCCCGACCATGGCGAGGCTCGGCCTCGCCGGGCGAGGCCGCCCTCCCCAGTGGCCGGCGAGGTCGAGCTCGCCGGCCACTGGCCTCTGGCCGGTCGCCGGACCGGCGACCGGCCAGATGAAGAAGAAACCAAAAAAAAAAAGTGGAAAAAAAAAGAAAAAAAAGGAAAAAAATAAAAATTCAAAAAAATATTAAAATATTATTTAATTTGTCCACGTCAGCGCCACGTCGGCGCCGGTGACTGGCCGCCGGCCGGCAGGCGTCCACGTCGGCAAATTCCGGTCAAAATTGACCGGAAGGACTAAATTGGCACAAAAATAAAAGGTTTAGGACTGAATTGGCACCAATTTAAAAGGTTTAGGACTGAATTGGCACCAAAAAAGGTTTAGGACTAAATTGGCACCAATGCAAAAGGTTTAGGACTGAATTGGCACCAAAAAAAGGTTTAGGACTAAATTGGCACTAATGCAAAAGGTTTAGGACTTTTTTGGCACTTTTCCCCATCTGATACCAATCTCTAGTCTCGCCTGAGATTCCAACAACACCCAAAGCTGTTAATGATCAAAGTGATTGACGAATGAATTGGTGGGAAATCATGAACATCAGAGAGCACAAGAGAGGGAGATTCCAATACTCAAAAAGAAAAAAAAAATTGAAAATGAAAATCATGAACATAAGAGAACAAAATCTGAAGTTAACTCATAGATGGCTGAACTCCCATAGAAGTCGACTTGAGTGGTAAGATAAACGAATGGACAATGTTCCATGTGAAGCAGTTTCTTTCCTTTGTTCCCCTTTCTTTTTTTTGGTAATGAGCTAAAAAGACTGCAAAAAAGGTAGTTGAGTAAGAGATTCAAACCTGAATTGTAGGATCACAGATGTCAGAAGCAGAAACAAGCCCGACCCATGATTGAAAGAACGATATTTTCCCTGGGATCGGCGAGAAATTCTTTAAACCGAGGGACACGATGAGAGATATGCAATGGAAGGAACTACAAGGAGAATCTAAGGCTGTTGGGGGGGGAGCTAAAAGAAGATGGGCAGAGAAAGGAGCAGGAAACAGATACATAAATCAAATGGGTATGGCTTTTAACAAAGGGGATGAATATAAAAGTTTGACCTTCCTGCAGAAAACGACAACAACTATTTTAATATTGAATTGATGGGGAAATGAAGACAGAGAGAGACAGAGGAGAGGGACCAATGAGAACAGAGCGAGGAGAGATTTACGAGGCGAATCGACCCCAGAACAGAACAGAGAGAGAGAGAGCGCACGAGCGGTAGGAGAAGACGAGGCCACGGCCGCCGTCCACATCCAAGTTTCTCTCTCGTCTGGGTCACTGTCGTGTCGTTTCGCAAGCTGAACCTTCTTTGGCATGTAAAGAATTGATCAGATCGCCACGACGATCCTCCGTGTTAAAAGCTAAATGCTTTTGCATGAAGCGCAAAGAAAGATGATGAAGAAATGAAAAGAACCAACAAAATCTTGGCTTCCTTAAAATTAAATTGGTGGTATAGATTTTTCTGATAGCTGAAAAAATGGTAATATCTTTTCCAAAAAAGAAAAAGAATAAATGGTATTGTATTAGGCATGAGAAAATTGGTAATTTCATTACTTTTGGTCACTGATTTTATTTCTCGACACACTCTTAATTTCGAGAAAATCCTCGTTAATACTGATAGAATGAGAGCTTTTCTTTTGGACGATTGGTGGAGGAGCGTAAAACTTCTCACCTTATAGTCCTAAAATTTCGTTTTTTTTTCAATTTTAGTCACAAAGCTTATCACGGTTGTTTACTTTAGTAGACGGAAAATCTACGTGACATTTTTTATATTAACGGCCACATAAAATTGAAAAAATAATTAAGAAAAAGTCATGTAGCATTTTCCGTCCACTTAAAATTGACGAAGTTAACAAAATGACTAAAGTGCACCCAACTTACAATTTTAAAGACCTAGCTTACGAAATAAAAATGCAAGGACTTAAGTGTGCTATCGTAAATAAGTTCTAGGACTTGCTTGCAATTGTTTCTTTTTTGCCAAAATATTGTCACTACTTTTCTTATATTTGTTTGTTTACACTTACGCAAATTTTTGAAAAAAAAAAGACAAAATATTATTTGACTATATGAAAAATAAAATATTACCTAAAATATTATTTAATGAACAAATTATATATGAATTTACTTGTTAGCATTTTAATATTGTGAAAGTTTCGAGAGTTTTGAATTTAAAGAAATCAAAGTGCGTGAGCTGCATATATTAAATTAAGCAAAAAGTAAAAAAAGTCGAAGTCATTCCCACTAATGGGGGCAAATTCCTTTTGTCTTTGCAATTGCCACCCAATTTGCAGCTGCATTTGCACTTCTTATCAAAACAACATCAAAACTTCATAAATTTCATGAGTAACAGGAGCAATCTTCCATATACTGCTCTCCCCTTTCTTTCACAAAGCTTCATGAACATTCTTTGAATCAGTCTCAATCACACAATCTTCCCAATTCATTCCTTAATAGCCTCAGCCTCCGCAATTTCGACAAAGTAAAAATGTCTCGAACCCTTCCTTGACCTGCAACACTTCGATAAGCCAACAAACCAATGAAGTTATCTTATCAATTAGAGAATAAGAGTTCAAAAGGATGATAAGTCCATATAATTTTATCAATTCCTGAATATTTTAGTTTCTCGCATTCAAGTAAGGTCACTATCTGGCTGCTCAAGGATGTTGTTGCCAAATTAACAAATATCAACGAAGACCTATAATGACCATTCAACCAACTTCTTATCGGATGTGAGATCCCGAATCGACTTTCACGCCGTATTGCCGAGAGAGTAATTCTTTGTGAATTTTGGGATCTTGACATTGAGGTCTTGATAATGACCAGACCAAGGACTTGGAATTAATTCAACTGTGAAAAATTATGATCCTATCTCAATGAAAGAAATTTTGGGATCAAAGTATGGTATTCACAACATCAAAAGTTGTACCTTCACAATAGTGTTTAAACATTAAAGTGATATCTTGAAGACAACATAACCAAGTTCTTTCATTGTCTCTACTCGAGACCCGAAGTTTAAATGGATCACTTGAGTAGAGCCAATTTTCATCTTATCCTCCACTTTCTATTCGTGCTCTTTGCTTTCACAAACAATGCAAAGATTGAGTATTTTCTCCTTGTACTTTTCCTTCATCCTTTTCTTTCCCTTCCTTTCACTTTGTACTCCCAAACAAAGCCGCAGCGCCTTTTGAAGAGTAACAAAGGCCATGTAAGAATGTCCAAAGCGAGATATCATCAATTCTTAAACCACATAAATCGCCATTGGACAGGATCAAGAAAGAACCCTAAACCCAATATTAAAAAGGATTTCTTCTCCAGGAGAAGCGATAAAAGCCGCTGTTTGGAAGCGAGTGAGCGAATCGCCAATCTGCCATTGGACCATCAAACGGGACAAAACGCAATTGCAGAGTTGAGACAGACGGCCCCATATAGAACCAGCTAATGAACGAAAGCTCAGTTTAGCTGAAGCCCCCGGTTATTTTATTCATTTTCTCAGAAGAGGACAGGTCCATGCAAGACAAACCCATCTTCTCTCTGATCTCTCTCTCTCGTGGACGATGACGAAATTCTAAGTAGTTTGACAGCGAGCTTTAGCATAATAAAATGGTGTGTACAAGAGCAATAATTGGTGTATTAAAGTTAAAAAAAACAAGCGATGTAGATCCTGTTTGACGTAGGAAAACCTGTGGCGTGGTCTGTTAGCTGCATCACATTATTTGTTTATACATAGAAGAAAGAGATGGATGTGACAGAAGGAAAGAGAGAGAAAGAGTGGGCGAGAGGGAGGACTGGGTCAAAATAGAGATGGTGGTGGGGTTGGCAATGGAGGGCCTCGTACGACTCCACATCGTTCGTTTGGGTTTGTCTGAGGATTGATGTTCGGGACGAACAGAACAGCACCAGTTGCTTCAACATACTCGCGACCGTATCTGATCTTGAAGGGCCAAAATCCACAGCCACCTCCGCAGCATAGCTTATACATATATTTTTGAGAGGGTGATGTCTATTCTCTTTTTTTCTTTTTGCGATTGTGTTTCTCATTCGTAATTATTAAGATGCACAGTTGATACGCATTATGTCGCGAGCTTTGACCCTTTCAAAAGTATATAAATATGTCGATGGTATTAGATCACAGATCGAGAATTGGAATCTTTTGCCCCTCTTAAAAGTTGTCTAGACATTTTGAAATTTGCCGCAATATAGGGGTAGTTGCCACTGTCACGTCAAGCAAAGTCGATGAAGGCAAAGTCACAATTGGAGAGACAGAAAGAGAGATATGAGCTATGGCAAGCAACTATGGCCGTCAATATTCTTGCCGCCAGAATGATCTCGACCTATCTTAAATCTCACTTTTGCCTTAGATTAACTTAGGTGAACTTCTCTTTCTTGGACGTCCCACTCGGAAAAAAGGGTGATCCAAAATTGTTCGAGGTGATAGGCATGCTCTCTCTCTCTCTGAATATTTTTTTTTTTTGGTAAGGGCTCTCTGAATATTTTTATGTCAATAAGAATCATAAATATTTTCTCGATGACGTATAGATATTTTGATATTAAATTTGCATAAACAAGTATACTACAATGAAAAAGATTCAGTCTTTTTCTTTAAAGCTCATCGAATGTTGGTGATTGGAAGATTTGATTGGACAAATCAAGCATATTAGAGGATTTGATTGCATTAAAATGTTTGAAGAGCGGAAACGAAAAAAAAGTTAGTAAAAGGACTAAATTAATCTTAACCTAACATGGTTGTAGAAATTATTGGGAGTTGAGTTTGGGAAAGCCCTTGAGCACTGCCATTGGTATTGTTTAGAAAAAAAAAGAGAAAAAGAAAGAAGGAACACTATAAAAATAGGCCACATGTTGGGCTTGGAAGTTTTCGGAGGGTTGGACTTGTAACTGTAGTGGAGTGGCCCAACCCAATTTAAGAATCAATAAAAGCTTGCTTGAGTTGTGGAGTTGGGTAGGCTTGTCCAGTCCTTTCGAAACGACACGAATCTCCTATTTTGTACTGTGCTCCCCTTAATGTCCCCCCCTTAATATCGCAATAAATCTCAAAGATTGATTTACAGATGAGGCCTACAACATCGATTGAGATTAGCCAAGATACTAAGAGGAATGCCGTAAGAATAAAAGATTTTTCCCTCTTTCAAAATTTTTCGACCTGTTTGAAATTGTGAAAATTCCTCGTATAAAAACTTTTAACCACATATGCGCATTTGTAAATCGACAGGCCTAGAAGCTTTCGGACATGCCTTGATCCGAGGATAATTTTTTGTCCGGCGCCAGGTCCAAGAGCATAAGTAGCGAACAGCCTTTAATAATCCTTTAATCTTTGAAAGAGAAAGCGAGGGCAATTTCTCTTTGAGCAAGAAGGAACGTCGTACAATTGGTTTATTTGGGATTAAAGATTAAATGTGTTGTACGGGCATGAATTTTCGTAACTAGGACTTAACGCTTAAGATGCATGTCATCTAATTTATCTCAAAAGAGTGGATTATAAGAATTGCCTGATATAAAAAGTTAACGAAGGTAAGAATTCGGGCTTTTTAAATAAGACTTCGAAGTCAAAGGCATGAAAAGAAAAAGGTCATGTTAAGAATTCCGTCATCCAAATGTCGGAAAGTTTATAAACAATTCCTCGGTAATGGTTTTTCCATCAAACAAACTGATCCTAAGGCTCCATTTGTTTCGTGAAAAATTTGATGCCTTTGAAAAATATTTTCAGGGAAATTATTTTTCAGAATAATAATATTTTCTGCTATTTGCTTGAAAATGAGTAGGAAATCCTTGTTCGTCATTCGGTATTTCCTTCCCAATTACTCTCACACTGACGTTGATGGTGGGCTTCAAAATACAGTTTGGGCCTGAATGATTTTCTCACTCTTTGTGGTCCAACTCGCAGTTTCTCATTTCCACTTTCTTTTGCTCCCCATCTTTGTTCCCTTCTTCTTCGTTCCTTTCATGTTGCGCACGATGAGGCCTAACACCTCCAATCCAGTCGCAACCCAACGACGTTGGCCATTGGATTGCTTGGGTGGTTGTTTCCGGCGATGCCTGAGGCGGTAAAAGGATTAGTTTCAGGTCGTGGTGAAGATTCATTGCCGTTCGTATCGGGGTCGGTGGTGGCTATGGATCCTTAACGGTGATTCCGAGCAATGGTCAGTGACGGCAGCGGCGGGGGTGTCATGGATGGTGGAGAGTAGCAGATGATGATGGCACTCGAACAATGGGAGTGGCTGTGAAAAGGGAAAATGCTATGGCGGCGGCAATCTGTTTCTTTTACTTTTGATTGACGGTGGTTGTGGATGATGAAGAAGATGGTGATGATGGCGGGTAAGTATGGTGGTTCAATGATGTGCGGCGCCATGATGGCGGCGGTGCGACGGTGGTAGCACGTGTTTAATTTTACAGAAAAGATAGATGCTGGTGAACCATGGTGTGCCGTTGAAGAGTGAGGAAATTGAATTTTATTTTTTGAAGATAGGAAATCGTTTTTATATTTTTAATGTGGATTTTCCAGTGAGGGAAGATATAGGATAAAAAATATTTTCTTAGTCTTCATTTTCTAGCAAACAAGTAATATTTAGTTTGACTTAAGAACTTGACTTTGCAGCTATAGTTTGACTCTGATTTGAGTTCCAAGATAGGGCACAACAAACACAAGCCGCCGTTGATGAAAAGTAGCAGCGTGGGTCTTCGTAAAATTATGTCCAAGAAGAGTCCTTGAAGTGCCGTTCGAGCGCTTGAAAGTGGATATTCTTCGTGAATTACATCCCTTGAATTTAGCATTTAAGCCGATTAAATCTTGTGTAAGATTTGTATAATTAGTTCGTTAGGTTAAGAGATTATTTCGTAAGAAATTGTGTGGCTAAACATTATCTAAGTTATGGGTGTAATTGGTGACTGTGAAACATTAAGAGTGTTTGAGTAACTCGAGTGTGGTTGTAATAATCATTTTGTCGCTTGGTCTATAGAGAAATTCTATGCTACTCACTCCGTGGATGTACGAAATATCGACCAAATTACATAAATATGGTCTCTGATTTATTTCCATATTCCGTTCATCTTATGTTATTGTTTGATCGGTTGTCTCCGCAACAAGAAAATCAACAACATATGGATCGAGCACCGCCATCAGGAGAAAAACCCAAAAAGCGAAAAAAAAAAAATTTCTGTACAGAGAGGCAAAGGGAGGGTTCACTGGTAGTAGCTAAGCACGGAATATACGGTCTGAATTATGGTGAGTACGAAAAGGAAGATGGCGGCCATGACAGACAATGCAACGTAAAGATTGCTGGAGTAGATGTGGATGAGATTAGCCCTGCACTTGTGCAAGGGCATCTTGCAGTAGTTGCTGACCTTCTTGTGCACGGCGTAAAGGCTGCTGTCCGGTTCGAGGATCCCGTCCTTGGCCAGTGACTTGAACAGCTTGGCAACTTCCTTGTCGCTCCCGATGGCATTCTGGATGATGCCCCGGGCGTGGAGCAGCATGACGTCCCGCTCGTCATCAATGATGGTGCCCATGAAGAAGAGGTAGGACGTGACCTCCCTCCCGGCCCTGATGTGGAAGCGCTCGAAGGCCAGGAGGTTGAGGAACATGGACTCGGTGGTGTTGTCCACCACGATCACGGGGAGCCTCAGGACCCCGTTGGAAAAGGAGATGTCCTCGAGGCTGTCGGTCGTGCTCTTCTTGAACAGGATCCCAGCCTCGTTGAGCTCGGTGACCGACTGGATAATCTCCTCACCGTCATCGTGCCCTGCGTTGCCCAGCTCGTGCTGGACCTTCATCTTGGGCTTCATCAGCATGCTCTTCCTGAAGACGTCCAGGACGTGCAGACAGTTGCCCATCCTTGTGATGCTCGTGCTGGGGGAGCAGAAATTGAGGATGAGCCGGTTGATGAATTCAATGTCCTGTGTTGTTGGCATAAGTCAGTATCGATACCACTTGCGTAAAAGCGGAAAAAAAATGAAGTTTCTGATAGCGGTGATAGATTTAATAATGACATTCTTGGTTGATCTTGAGCCGTGCATCCGATGCCTTTGGAACATTAGATTCGGTGGATCCCTCGTACGGTCCATGCGAGATCACCAAGATGTACTGTTAGGCGCACATAATACGGCGATTGGCATACGTGCAATAACCTCTCTTACGACGGACCGAAATCTAAGAAAGTAACCTTCTCGCCATCGCTCTCGACAGCGACCAGCCGATCCAGCACTAGCATCGGAAGCTGATTCTCCAGCATCAGCATATCCCGCCTTATGTACTGCATTATGTAGAGCTTTCCGTGGTTGCTGAAGATGGGATCGTCGGGCGCGTAGTCATCCACCGCCCGTGTTGCGGTCCTCAGGATCTCCAGCATGAAGCAGCCGTCGGTGAACATCAGCTCCAGGAACCGGCCCGCTGCACCATCGCCGCCGCCATCCTTCCACTTTGGGCCCAGTGCGTCGTAGCACTCCTCGAGGTCCCGCGCCACCTCCCTCAGGGACTCTAGGAAGGCCCTGAGGGGCTTCTTGGACCGCTCGAGGAAGTGGAGGAGCGCGCGGTGCTTGTGCTCCTCCATAGGGCGGAGGTGGTCCTCGCCGTGGTGGTAGGGTCCGAAGGAGACAACCTGCGGCTGGTAGGCCTTGTGGTTGAGGTCGGCATCGAAGGCAGGGACCCGGTAGACGCACCGCTTTTTCCAGGTCTGTTCCTCGTTCAAGGACACGCGCTTGAGTCTCTCGGTGACGACGTAGACGACCCAGTCGGTCTGGTCCAGGTCCTGCGATTGCGGTTCCAGAGACATGGTTCCGTAAGTTTCACAGGTTCCAGCAGTATCCGTTCTGGAGTGTCTTATGTTCTCTTTCTGTTTTTCTATCCAGAAAGTAGTAAGAGAAGAAGTGTTTATTGTGCCATCGAAGCCGTGGGAATCAAATCGCATGCACGACATGCACGTGATCTCCGAATCATACACGAGCCTTTGAATTCGATGAATCTCTCACGAGTGTCTGTCTAAATTAAAGGGATAGTATAAATTGAGTACATGTAATTTCAATTTAGGTATGGTCTTTGCATATTCGATGCCGGTCTAAAGTTAAAATAGTATTTTTCTTTTGTTTCGTTTGGTAATAAGTTTAACCTCGTATGTTTGGGGTATTCCAGATTTCTTACTTGAGGTCTCATTTTCAGTATCTGATGGTCTTCTTCAATGCATGCATCGCGATAGTGGCATTTCGATATTATGTGTATATGGTTAACTCATGATAATCATATAATTTCTTGTAGCCATCAGATGGCACACAAGATGAGTACTAACCATCTTATGTGAGATTCAGACACTTACATTGATTTCGTACGGAGAAAAATTAATTCAAAGAAAAAGATATTTGAGAACTCAAATCAAAGTCAAACTATATCAGCAAAGTCAAGTTTCTAAGTTAAACTAAATATTAGTGAGAGTTTCTTTTTTGTTTTGTCGGTTTCAAATCATATAAGTGTAATCAGCCGTGAGCATTAATGAGCTCCAATGGAGAAAAACTTGGATCTAATTGGGAAAATTATCCAATTAGTCCTAAGCCTATTATACGGATAACAATTCAGTCATAAATATTTTAATTTTGTCAATTTAATCCTAAATCTCCGTTCGAATTTCCAATGTAGTCATTCCGGTCAATTTTCGCCGGAAATCACTGACGTGGCAGTTTAGTCATCGATGGCCGTCCAAAGTGGCACATCGCCACTTCAGCCAAATTTCTTTGTGGCTGAAAGTACTACATTGCAACTTCACGCAAAGATTTAGGACTCAATTAACGAAATTAAAAAATTTATGACTGAATTAACATCCGTACGATAGATATAATATTGATTAGCGACAATTTCTCCCATTATAACTGCTTATGAGCTCCAATCGAGAAGTACTTGAATCCGTATCAGATTTTGCATCCTAAAATGACTTTTACTTCATAGTCACATCATAATTCAAGCAACTCTTTTAATTCACTCTTTTGAGAGAAATTGCAGCACATGCATCTTAGGCCTTAACCTCTAATTAAGAATATTGATGACCCCATTTTATGTCCCTAATGTCCCCACAACACTTTGAATTTTTAATCCCAAACAAACCAACTGTAGAACATTCCTTTCTTGCTCACAGACGAAGTGCCCGTACCAAATAAACCAACCGTAGAACATTCCTTTCTCGCTCACAGAGAAAGTGCCCTCGGTTTCTATTCCAGAAAGTGATTTAAAAAAAACTATGATTAAAGGCTGTTAACTGCTTTTGCTCTTACAAGAAAGAATCCTTGTGAACATGATGGTTTGGATAAACAAACCATAGCCCAAACCTTCAATTATCAGGGAAAACAACACAAATGATACATGAATTTTGACTCAATGTGCAATATGGTCTGAAACTTTTAATTTATTTAATGCGGTCCCTGAACTTTAACCCAATGTGCAATGTTGTCCTTGAACTTTCAATAGCCCTGAACATTTGGTACATGTTCAATATAATTCTTGGACAATATGAAAATGTTAAATGTTGTCTTTGCACATTGAGCTACATTTTTATATACATGTACCAAAAGTATAAAGACTACATTAAACAAATTACAATACATTGCACATTGAGCTAAAGTTGAGGGACCATATTGCATATTGGGTTAAAGTAACATATGCATAGAGGGTATGTACCTATCATGTATTATGAATGACTTTGTCCGCCACATCATCCATAAAATTTAGTTTATATGATTGTTTTGGTTGTCGGCCCCATATCAAGACAATGTACCATGCAGATTTTAAGTAACGGATGCACATAAGGGTATGTACAATTACACTTTCAACCTTAAAAGCCAAGATTAGCCTCAAATGATTAGGATTGGCTCGCTCAGAAGGAGGAGCCATTATGTGCTAATCCTCAAAAAATTTCCATCTTCTGATACTGAGGATACGGAGGAGTTCTCAGGCTTCTAAACTTTCCCACCACATTAGGTCTGGTTGACAATTGGTTTAACTACCTCCCAAGTACCTGATTATGAGCCAATGACCCAACAAGCCCAAGAGATTTGCCCATCCTTATTGCGGGCTCGCCTAAAAATATTCTTGCCTCGAACCGTATCTGTGAAACCAATAGTGGACGCCATCTCGGACCCACGCATCCATGGACTGCAATTGATCCGGTCATCTGGACCAGGTCCAGACATAAAAATCTTCACATAAGAAGGCAGGTTTGAAAGCTTCTAGGCCAATAAATACATGAATGTATATGTGTGGTCAAACGGTTTTATATGGGGAGTTTTAAATGATTTTAGATGGGCCGAAAATTTCAAAAGAGGCAAAGATCTTTTATTCCTACGATGCTTCTCTCGATATGTCAACAAATCTCGATATAGGTCTCGTCTATCTAGATCAATTATTGACATTTTTTGAAAAATCGAGAGGAGCATTGTACAAGATAGATGATTCAGGTCATTTCGAAAGGACTCAACAAGCATGCCCAATCCCGCCTCTTGATTACCTCCACAACACGAGCTAGCTTTAATTGAATCCTATATTGGGTTGGGCTGCTCCATTAGAAGTACAAGTCAAACCTTCCCAGAACTTTCACGCCCATTAGATGGTCCATTTGATTATCTTCGTTTTTGTTTTCTAAATATTGTTAAAAGCAGTGTTCAAGGCCTTTACCAAACTCAATTCCCACTACTTTCTAAAATTAGGTTAAGACTAATTTACTCTTTTTACCAAAATTGTTTCACGATTCCGCTCTTCAAACTTGTAACACGATTTGTCACGATTTGAGCACTGTTTTTTTTTTTTTAAATTAGTATTGTTTTGAAAAAGAGGGGGGAAAAGGAACGTTATCAAAATTAAATGAAAACTCGGGAAGCAAAATGTACGGTAACAGTCAGGAGACAACAGATCATCACGTGCTCGGTCTTGAAATGACCCACAAGTGAATTTTCAGTGATTGGAAAAATGATTAATATCATGAAAAATTAGTATATTTGTGATAAATTTATCTCGAATTATTTTTTTGACCACCAAAAATCTCAAATTGATACCATGTGACAATTTTATCTCGAACTAATTTTTTAACCACCAAAAACCTAAAATTGGTACATCTGTAACGATTTTACCCCGAACTAATTTTTTGATCACTAAAAATTCCAAACTGGTACACCTGTGACAAGTTTACCCTCCGTTAGTTTCCGTTAAATTTTACTAGTCAAATTGCTAAGTTTGATGACACATGGTAGTTAACAGGTGCACTAATTTAGGATTTTACCCTTCTGTTTGTCACAAGTTTATCAATTTATGATTTTTCGTGATATTAATCCAATTTAACAGAAGATAAATTTGTCACAAGTGTATCCGTTTAGGATTTTTGATGGTCAAAAAATTAGTTTTGGGTAAATTTATCACAGATATACCAGTTTGGGGTTTTTGGTAATCAAAAAATTAGTTCGAAGTAAAATTGTCACAGGTGTATTATTTTGTGATTTTTTGTGGTAAAAAAAATAGTTCGGGGTAAATTTATCACTTGTGTACCAATTTGGGGTTTTTGGTGATCAAAAAATTAGTTTAGAGTAAAATTGTTATAAGTCTACCAGTTTGGGACTTTTTGTGGTATTAACCCTTGAAAAAATGAACAAGCATGTTGAGGAATTAAAGACATTGACTCCGTTTGTTTCGTGAAAAAGTGACGTTTATGAAAAATATTTTTTGGTGTGTGGCTGAATCATGAAAATGAACTAGAAAATATTTTCCACGTTTGATAGAGAAAATCTAAAAATTACAAATAAATTAGAATTTTTAATTCTTTTTTTCTTTTTTTATCTCTATCTTTTTACTTATTTATTGGCCGTATGCTGGTGATCGCCCATAGGCAAGAGACGAGCTCGCTAGAGGTCAGCGAGCTCGAGTCTTGCCAGAGGATGACGAGGCCTCCACCTCACTTGTGGTCGTCACCGTGTGTGTCCATTGGTCGAGGGAGAAAGAAAAAGAAAAGGAAAGAACAGAAAAAAAGATAAAAAGAAAAAGAGAAATAAAGAAAAAAAATCGAATTTAAAAAAATAATTAAAATTATGAATTTCTTTTCAAATATTTTTATAAGAACGAACATTCATTAATCAAGAACTTGAGCCTGAGCATTGAGGACTCACACACAACTTTTGTGAACCAGGGCTCTAGCGTTGGGGACCCGAGCACAACATTTATGAACCCGAACTCGAGCGTTGGGGAATTGGGCAGGGGCACCAGGTGTTCAGGATTGACCTCGATGGACTTGGGTGTGGGTGTTGGGGGCCTGGGCTCGGCCTCGATGGACCCAAGCCCAACTACCAAAGACTTGGTCTTGAACGCCGGGACCCAGGAACCAACTTTAGGGTTTTCATGCCTAAACGTAGAGTTGCGGATCCAAGTGCTGATATTTAATCATATTTTGGAAAATGTTTTTCGACTTTTCGAAAGAGGAAGTCAATTTCCTAAATTTAAGCATGGCTTTCTGTTGACTCATTTTTCTAAGCAAACTAAATGCCGGAAAATAAGAAAACTAGTTTCTCGGAAAATCATTTCCAAATGGAGCCTTCGTACACAAAAAATTTCCCTAACTTTTCTTTTTTCTCTCGCGACTGAATTGCCCATCAGATGGTGAAATATGCCAGAGCCTTCCTAGAGGAGCGATTCTGGTGACTCCATTCGTCCAATCTAATTATTGCCTGAAAAGTAGTATCATTCTGAATGAATTAAAGGAATTTGTAATCTTTGATACGTAAAAATTTAGGTTCGATCAAAGCAGGACACCTCCAAAG